AGCAATATTTTTTTTAAACTGCATCTCGAGATTATATGCAAGTCATGAATTGGTATAAAGAGCTGCGTCTTTAATATTAAAAGTCTTATTATGATGTTGTTTAGATTCTATTCAATATTATTAACTTAGATATATAGTGATAGAGAAAACTATTGTTTTTGGTTGGAAAAAAATTTACTAAGTTAACAAAACAGACTAATTTGACTGTCAGTAATTTATTTGCAACTATTTATTTTGATACTTTTACATTATTATACCTTGTAAAACTCATGTAAAAAAATAATATGAAAAGATTTTAGAACAAATTCGTCAATTTCTTAAAGGAAAAACATAAAAAAAACATTTTATTTTAAAAATAAAAGATATATTAAGAAAAAATAATAAGAACCTCCTAAAATTTATTGCACAAATGCTCCTTTCTTTTCAATAACTCTTAGCAGCCTATTGTCAACATCTGATTTGCAATTTTAGCGGCTGGTAAGTTGTTTGCAGCAACTTTAACTGCCTCCCAGAGGTCACACTTGCTGTTGAATTGCCTTCCATTAGAATAAATATCTCTCTTGAGGACGCTCCACAGGTTCTCAATGGGACTCAAGTCACAGCTATTTGAAGGCCAGTCCATAAGAGAATCTTTAACAAATCCCTTTTCTTTCAACCAGGATTTAGTAAACTTTAATACATGACTTGGTGCGTTGTCTTGCATAAAGATCATAGATCTACGCTTGGCTAAAGAGTGGTTATCAAGCCATTCAAAGAAATATTGCTCTAGAAAATCACAGTAACTTTTGGAATTCATTTTAACCCCGTCTTTCAGTTTAAATCGACCCACGAGCTCATTACCAATAATCCCAGCCCACATCATGATCCCACCGCCGACCTGTTGGCGTTTAAAAATTTTTCTTGAGTCATGTTGCTTGGAAACCCATCCTCGAGCCCATCCATCGGGCCCATCGAGGGTGATCCTTGATTCGTCTGTAAAAAGCACTTTACTGAAATCAGTTTTCATGTATTTTTTTCCCACTACAATCTTCTTTCCTTAGGTTTTTTTTTGTTAAAGAAAAAAAAGCAGTAACACAACGACACGGTGGTAAAACATTTTATTTAAAACACAAATAAAAAAAAAAACAAAAGAAGAAAACAAACCTATTTAACTAACCAGTGTTTTCTGTGTCTACACTTAATTAAGATTTCCGTTTTTAAATTCAGCAAATTGTTAGGTTCCTTAAATAAAGCGATGGCTAACTTTTCCTCTATACATAGAGGACAAACTTTATTACCTGCTTTGTATTTATTGCATTTCTTTAATATTTCCCATTTCTCTCTCTCTCTCTCTCTCTCTATATATATATATATATATATATATATATATATATATCTTACGTTAACTGCACAACTCTGAGTTTCATGCCAAATCAATTTTCATGGGCCGGAATTATTATATATACTTTTATTTATATTTTTTGGTTGACACTCGCTCGCCCGAATAGCTACTTATATTTATCCATTATATATATATATATATATATATATATATATATATATATATATATATATATATCAGTTTAAATATGATGAATGTGGTAGAATATGGCTTTTTCAATGTCGCCGTCTTTAGCTAAAAAGAAAGATTTATGTTGGCAAATACTTGATAAAATCTGATCACTTCTACGCTGTGAATAACTTAACATGCCGAGTGTGTCAGAAAACCTGTAGAAACGCTTCTGGTCCCAGGCATCATCTGAAAACCCAAAACTAATCTAAAAAGACTTTACAAAATCATTCCAGATCCTACACATAAGTACTTAGTTTGTTACCTCTACAATAAGCATTGCAATTCACGGGCTGGCTTCAAGAGCCATCGTTGTTCTCACGAAAGCTAATTTGATCAGACTTGTTTTTGAAATCAAACATCCATGATGAAAGAATCTACGCTTGGGGATACACCGTGACTTTAAAGGCTACTGGGCCTCAAAATCACATCTAACCACAAGTCGTACATACGATCCATTGCTAAAGATGCACGTAAAATGGTCGGCTTCCTCTATCAATCCAAAAAGTAACTGATACTTCATACTATCCTTTATCTTTACAAGAGCAAGGCCTAAAATGGGGTACTGTTGTCATATTTAGGTGGGAGCTGCCTAGTCCTCATTTTCCAGTATCGATAGAGTCCAAAAGAGTTGAGTTCCATTTTTGAACCCTTATAAATTACACTACTCAATTTTGAACCTTTATTAATTACACGACTATAAGCTTACAGCAAATGGCATTATCCAATGAAGGCCACGTAATCCACTAGAAGAATCGTATAGGTAGTCCGTTGACAAATAACTTAGTATGCGGCGTGTGTCAGAAAACACTGCAGAAACCGCTCCTCACTCACCCATCTTATTAAAAACTGACGAGCAAGCTAAACAGAGTTTACAAAACATGCCAGGCCCTGTACAGAACAACTTAGTTTGCCATGTCTGCAATTGCACTTGCTAGCTTCAAGAGCCATTGGCGTTATTCAGACGTGCCAGCGATGGTCAAACGCGTTTCGCCAGTCAAGAATCCATCATATATATATTTTTATATTATAAAAATATACTTTAAGGTATGTTATATTTATGGGTTAATGTGCTCAAAATAAAAGACAGAGTATATTTAAGCATAGAAGTGTAAATTGAGGTCCCCACCCAGCGGCGACAGCCTGTTTCATGCTTAAACTCATATGGCCTGAAGATTGCGTTTAAGCATGAAACAGAGTGTCGGCGCTGGGTGTTGACTTCAATGTGCAGTTTTATTTTTTTTTTTATTATATTATATTTTGTAACCTAGCAAAGGTTACTGAATGGAATAATCAAACGAAGGTTGGTAATGAACGATAATACTTAGGACAAGAACAACACATATAAGATGTGGTCAACTGCTATTAGGTTGGTGCAAAAATAATGACGTAATAATGTCGTTTTTTTAGGTTAAAAAATACGTCACAAAACGACATTATTACGTCATTATTTTTGCACCAACCTAATAGAAATGAGTCAAATGAATTCCACACTGAATCTCCAACTCTAGGATATGTACCAACCATCCGGCAGAGGTCAGATGTGGCACAAGGCCGAATTTAATGTGGGGTATAGAACGGTGTCGGATAGGCGTTTCCCGAGACGAGACTCTGCCCTACGACATAGCCCCGTCTGGGGATCTTCTCTGTCCGGAGGCAAAGAGTTTAACCAGCCCAGCTGAAGGCGAATCTCCAACTCTAGACCAACATACAGTATTTACTACTGTATTTATGCGAATGGGGACATACCTATTATCGTCCGTAGGTATGTTACAACATTATAATTTTCTTCTTCTATAGGTCGTGCCCCTTCAGGACGTCGGCGATCATGGCTCTCCAAAATTTCCTCTCCTTAGTAACACCTTAGTAACAGTCTGGCTACAAACTGGATGCACGATCGCTCAATGTGGGCACTATATATGTCACCTTTTACCAGACGTGGCTAAGGTTTGTAAATACGAAAATATTATAGAATGCCTAACAGGATGTTAATCATTTAACATATATATATTTAAAGAGATAGAGATATGAACGGATATATATATATATATATATATATATATATATATATATATATATATATATATATATATATATATATATATATATATATATATATATATATATATATATATATATATATATATATATATATATATAAAAGAAATATATGGTCTTATGGTGTGCTATATTTATGAGATAAAGTGCTCAGTATCTGGGATAGAGCGCGTGTACACACACACACACACACACACACACACACACACACACATATATATATATATATATATATATATATATATATATATATATATATATATATTACCTTACGTGGAAAGTACGACTCGAGTTTCATTACAATCTTCAGTTATTTATAATGGTGATGAACTGTGATACCTAATTTCTGTTATATATATATATATATGAAAAAATATAGTCTCAAGATGTGCTATATTTATGGGATAAAGTGCTCAATATCAGAGATAGAGGCGTGTGTAAATATAAAGTGAACATAGAAGTCAACACTTAGAGGCGACAGTCTGTTTCATGCTAGATGCAATCGTCAGGCCACGAGTGCTCTGGCGATTGCATCTAGTATGAAACAGACTGTCGCCTCTATTGGCTTCTATGTTAATTTTAATATATATATATATATATATATATATATATATATATATATATATATATATAATGCTTAATATAACAACATCCTAAGGATTGTGATTCCCACGCGCTGATCCAATCCAATAGACTAGACGCCAGACTAAGCTTGTTCATTATGTATAGCTTACGGCTAAGTTTAGAATATAGAAACTCAGCAATGTTTAGATGAATGACCGTTTATCACCTTCAATGCTGAAGGACGTTAATTACTGTCCCTCTTTTGAAAACCGCGCCTTGTCTTCGTTTTGTTCTCCGCACAATGCTGTGACTGATACCTGCTTTTTTGTTTGGATAATACTCATTTTTTCTATTCTTGGCCTACACACCTCAACAACAAGTGTGCAGAGTTTGAGCGCCCACGTTTATATATCCTCGTGTCAAGCTATAATGTACACTTACAATGAGAGATGGAGATAAAAACGTAACTCTTGCAACCACAAGGCCTTTCGAAATGAAAATGAGGTGATTGACGCTTGATTATTTTTTCAAGGATATATTTTTTTAATTTTTTTCTTCTTCTACAGGGTGGCCACAGAAAGCCTGAATGATATAAAACAAAAATAACTTTTACAAACATATTTTCTTTTTAATTCTTGGATCTTGCATGGGAATATTTTTAAATCTAGTTTCAGAATCTTCTGAAGCAATGTTCTGGCGATGCGTAGTAGAAGCTGAGGGATCCTCAAGGACACTCTGCCGTACAGCTTCGACCGCTTCGTTAGTGCACATAGTGCGCTTAGGACCTCTTCCCGGAAGGTCGCCGACTGATCCAGTTCTTTCAAACCGGTCGATTACGTTTCGAATCATGTTATCGCTAGGAGATACTCTGACATTAAAATATTGCTGGTATTTTCTTTGTGTTTGAATTAATTGATCTTTCATTGGCATAGAAAAAAACCCCAATGACTTTTACTCGTTGCTGGATATCATACGTAGCCATTTTAATCTCCGAGGGAAGCTCTAAAACCTACAAAAAAAGAAGAAAATAAAAAAAAAGATTGAAAACTAACAAGCTATATATTTTTCAAATTTTCACTTTTTCAGTGGCCACCCTGTAGCTGCTGTATCCCCTCAAGACGTAGGCGATCAAGGCTGACCCCAAATTGCTTTTGTCTTGTAATTCATATTCTTTTGGCCATCTCTCCTAATTCCTGTTCTGCAAACTATTTACTGAAGTTTTTAGGTAAGTTCCCTCTGTCCTTCCTAGCTTCAGTATGTCCCGTGAGTGTTAAACTCTCTAGGCCTTCTTCCATCATTATTTGCCCTAGAAATTCCAATTGACTTTCTGGTGTTACGTACAATTATGGAAAGAAAATTTCAGTTTTCCGAGAATTTGATCGTTGCTCCCACGTTCATATATTCTCATGGTATTCTCAGCAGCTTTCTGTGGAATCACATTCCTTTTGCTTCATGTCACTTCTTCAACTGTGAGGAGATTGTCCAGCATTCACTACCATATAGAATGACTGATATTACGTAACATTCCAGAACATTTTTCTTTGTTTCTCTTGCGTCAAGTCTCTTCTTCATCTGTGAGGAGATTGTCCAGTATTCACTGCCATACAAGAGGACTGATATTACGTAACAGTTCAGTACTCTTTTCTTTGTTTCTCTTGCTTCAAGTCACTTCTTCATCTGTGAGGAGATTGTCCAGTATTCACTACCATATAAGAGGACTGATATTACGTAAGAGTTCAGTACTCTTTTCTTTGTTTTTCTTGCTTCAAGTCTCTTCTTCATCTGTGAGGAGATTGTCCAGTATTCCCTGTCATATAAGAGGACTGATATTACGTAACAGTTCAGTACTTTTTTCTTTGTTTCTCTTGCTTCAAGTCTCTTCTTCATCTGTGAGGAGATTGTCCAGTATTCACTACCATATAAGAGGACTGATATTACGTAACAGTTCAGTACTCTTTTCTTTGTTTCTATTGCTTCAACTTTCTTCTTCATCTGTGAGGAGATTGTCCAGTATTCACTACCATATAAGAGGACTGATATTACGTAAGAGTTCAGTACTCTTTTCTTTGTTTCTCTTGCTTCAAGTCACTTCTTCATCTGTGAGGAGATTGTTCAGCATTCCCAGCCATATAGGAGGAATGTATATTGCATAACAGTTCAGTATTCTTTTGTTTCGAAGTAAATTTTCCTGTTTCGTAATACTTTGCTTAGCTTTAAGAAATGGAATCACCTTAAGCGATTACAACGCGCCTTCGGATTTCGATGTCGCGTATTCTGTCCTCTGTTAAAACTCTTCCTATATACATATATATATATTTTTTTTTTGCATTTGCTCGATTGTGGTGTCTCCAAAACGTGGTTCACATCTTAGATTGTTTGATTTATTTCATTGATTTGTTTATTTATTTTTATCATTGGGAGTGTATCGAATTTTGTTGTCGATACTGAAAAAGAAATGATCTGGAATTCGAAATTAGGCTTTTTTGTTCACTTCATCCTAGTGCGCTTGGGGGTAAAAAGCACTTCTCTTTGAACTTGTCTTGTCAAGCGTTATACTGAGTAAGATAATTACGTCAGAGGATAACCACTATGTTATTCGGAGTAGAGAGGGTGTTTTTCGGCAAATCACCCTCGTTACCTCAGCCTGTTTGTTTGCTCCTTCCTTCAATCCTTCCTTCCTTCCTATCCCATATCTATCTATCTATCTATCTATCTATCTATCTATCTATCTATCTATCTATCTATCTATCTCTTACTGATTTTTGTTTGTTCATTATCTATCTATCTATACATCTCATACTGAATCTGTTTGTTATATATATCAATCTATGTTCCTAATATAACTATCTCATACTGATTCTATCTATCTATCTATCTATCTATCTCAGTTTGTTCATGATCTATCTATCTACGTATCTCTCTATCTATCTATACATGTTTGTTATATAACAATCTATGTTCCTTATATAACAATCTATATATCTATCTATTCAGCTCATACTGATTCTATCTACGTCTGTTCATTATCTATCTATCTATCTATCTATCTATATACTGAATCTATGTTTGTTATATATATATCAATCTATGTTCCTTATATAACTATCTATTCATCTCATACTGATTCTATCTATCTATCTATCTATCTATCTATCTATCTATCTATCTATCTATCTCAGTTTGTTCATCATCTTTCTATCTCTCTATCTATACATGTTTGTTATATAACAATCTACGTTCCTTATATAACAATCTATCTATCGATATATCCACCTCATACTGATGCTTTCTATCTATCTATCTATCTATCTATCTATCTATCTATCTAATAATAATGATATAATCCAGGTACACCTATAAACTTACGTAAACTTTACGGTTACTGCGTTTGCTATCTTTTTTATGGAAGAGCGTAGAAGCTGGTGAACCGGAAGTTGTTTGTGATTGGACTATAAAATGCCAGAGGAGTCGCAGTGCGTTAGTGCATTATGAGAACAGTTGTAGCTGGCGGATTGCGCACAAGTCAATGCCCAATCAGTATGGACTAGGACACTGTGGAGAGGGCGTATGATGTTGAAAGTCCGAAAAAACCCTTAAAGCTGTGTGCCAAAGAATAGTACAGATACATTACACAACAATAGAATTCAACGTATTTTGATGCAAGCAAAGCAACACTTCAACCAAAAAGTGCTCAAGTAGATTACTAAAGCAATACCATTCAATAATCAATACAATAATGACCGACTCCAGAGTTTCGCTTCAAATCAATCGATGCACGTACATATAAATCTACATATTCAGTTAAAAACAAACTCTTGATAATGGCTAATAGAATAGCCGAAAGCGCTCAGATATATACGACATTTGGACAGTTTTACACACTGTAAACAAAAACACTTATACAAAAAAAAGAAAAACTGAATAAAACCCTCAATCTTAGGACCTTGACAGTCGTCTTTAATGAAAGTTATTTATATGTATAATGAAACATAGACATATATATATATATATATATATATATATATATATATATATATATATATATATATATATATATATAATATTGTTTTTACGTATACTATATTTATGGGTGAAAGTACTCAATACCATCGATAGGGCGTATGTAAATATAAAAATGGACATTGAGATCAAACGCCAGCGGCGACAATCTATTTTTATGGTTAAGTTCTATAGTCATGGCCTTTGTTAAATTTAGAGAGTGATTAAAAAGTAGCTCCCTATTTTATGTATGATGGACACTCTAGTCTTCTAAAAATTATATTTAGTCGTCAGAGTCTAACATACATAAAATAGAGCTACATTTCAATCAACCTATATATATATATATATATATATATATATATATATATATATATATATATATATATATATATATTCACCAAAAACCAAAGTAAAACTTCTGCCAAAAATGCTCAATAGATAACTAAGGCTATAACATTCAATAATCAATACAGTGCTTAGCTCATTGGCTGACTCCAGAGTTTCGTTTCAAATCACTCTTCAGGTTTCAAAAATCATTATCAGTTCTCAAAATGTTATACCCACCACCAAAAGCCAAGCCGATCAGATTTTTCAAAATGTTTTAGATGAGTGATTGTTAATGTTAAGATACAGAGAATTTGGGGACAGGAAGCTGTTTCTGTTTTTTAGCTGGATGCTAGGAACGTCTTCTAAAATCAGTCTGTCTGAAAAGGGGAGATTACTCAATGACAACAGAATTCGAAATATTGTGTGATGATATAACAGTGAAAGGTATCTTGAATTGTATTTTTTGCCATCTAGAAATTTTCTACGACAGCTACCTGATTGACTGCCAGAGCAAGAATACTCTGGACAAAGATACTTCTTATAAAAGATATCTTCAGTTATTTTAGGGTAATTATTGCTTTAGCTGCATTGATTAGAATATAGAAACTCTCTAGAATCCCTATGCGATTCGCTGCCAGAGTAAGAAGACCCTAGACAAAAAAACATTTCTCACGCGATATTTAGTCTGTCGTTCCGGGGCAGTCATTGCTTTTAATTGCGTCTATTTCCGGCTAGAATTCGTCTACCAATTGTATTTGATTGTCAGTCGATGTACTGCCAGAAAAGAAGAAATCTCTTCTGAAGTATCTCCTAGGTTGTTTTAGGATTATCATTTGCGTTAATTATATTCTTTGCCTCTTACGAATCGGATAAGGATGTAGCAGGAATAAAAGCCCATTAGAAGACATCCAGTTCCATTTCCAGTTGCAGGGCCATCACACATTTTGGAGGAACACCTGATAGACCGTGGCTTCAGGCTTGTAGCCGTGCTCAACACGCTTGACCAAACAGCGTGTTGGCGACGCAATTTAACCCATAGTTGGAGGTTTTGAATACAGCGTTGTCTTTCTCCAAGACCAGTTGCAAACCAGTCTACCTTGTTATTTAATCCGTAGATGGAGGGAAAGAAAGATGGATTCACACCTTTCCCAAGGGTATTTGCACGTAAGTGAATCTAACGAACTGGACTGGGATTTGAACTCTGCTCCCGATTGCTTGTTTCGAGTCGCTATCCATTAACCACCATGCCTTCATTGGATAAAATATACCATATTTCGCCCCAAATTTCCTGCTTTTTTTTGTTGCTGTAGATAAAATTTACTTTCACTTCTGAACTTGTCCTTATTCTGCCGTTTATTTAGCCAAATGTATTGACGCGGTTAGTTGGTTTGTCTCGCTGTTTCTCTTGTGAGTTTTGGATTCTCCAGGATCTCTTTGTTCATTATGTCGCCGAGAAATTTCAGATGCTTTTTTTTTTCTGATCGTAAGTAACAGTTTCTTTGCTCACATGTTTTGTCCGTAGGATTTTCTAAGTATTTAGAGAAAATTAGTTTCTTTTTTTAAAAAAAAAAAAAAAAATCCATCTCCTTGTTTTGTGTTGTTTACTAATTCGAAGAAACAGTTCCGATAAACTAGAATTGAACAAAGACTATAGACCTTGACATCCTTCTTCGCTTTGCTTTGGTCTCTTTCTTTCTTTCTTTCTTTCTTTTCTTGCTTGTGTATTTGCTTTCTTTTGCTTTTCCTGATTTTCTTTCTTTTTTCTTTTGCTTTCCTTGATTTTCTTTTTTTCTTTCTTTTTCCTTTCGTTTTCTGGTGTTCCTGGTTTCTTTCTTTCTTTCTTTTGCTTTCCCTGATTTTATTTTTTTCTTTGTTTCTTTGTTTCTTTCTTTGTTTCTTTCGCTTTTTGGCGTTCCTGTTTTCTTTCTTTCTTTCTTTCTTTCTTGTTTACTTGGATTCTTTTACTTTTACTTATTTTCCTTCTTTTTTCCTTTGCTTTACTTGATTTTCTTTCTTTTTTTTCTTTCTTTCTTTCTTTCTTTCTTTCTTTTCTTGCTTGTTTACTTGCTTTCTTTTGCTTTTCCTGATTTTCTTTCTTTTTTCTTTTGCTTTCCTTGATTTTCTTTTTTTCTTTCTTTTTTCTTTTGCTTTTTGGCGTTCCTGGTTTCTTTCTTTCTTTCTTTCTTTCTTTCTTTCTTTCTTTCTTTAGTTCTCGCTTACTTCCTTTCTTTCTTTTTACTTTTTTCTTTCTTAGACATTCCAGGCTCTTTCTTTCTTTCTTTCTTTCTTTCTTTCTTTCTTTCTTTCTTTCTTTCTTTGCCATTCCTGGTATTTCTTTCTTTCTTTCTTTCTTTCTTTCTTTCTTTCTTTCTTTCTTTGTCGTTCCTATTTTTCTTTGTCTTTCTTTTCTTGCTTGATTATTTCCTTTCTATTGTGTTTCCCGTTCTTTCTTTCTTTCTTTCTTTCTTTCTTTCTTTTTTTCTATCTTTCTTTCTTTCTTTTTTTCTATCTTTCTTCCTTTCTTTCTTGGAGGCATGCAAAAGAAAGCAAAAAAGAAAAAGTACGAAAGTTTCTTTCTTGTTTGTTTGTTTGTTTCTTTCTTTCTTTTCCGCCTTTTCACCTATCGTAACAGTTTTTCATTCTTTCTTTCTTTCTTTCTTTCTTTCTTTCTTTCTTTCTTTCTTTCTTTACTTATTTTATCTCTATTGCTGTTTGTCCTTCTTTTGTCTGTCTGTCTGTCTCTTCTGCTACTCATTTTGTTTATTCTCGGCCCCGTACTCCGTTTTTTGCACTCATCGATTTTCATTACGAATAAATTGACTTCATTTGGAAGAAAACGTGTAAACAACCTCGGCTGGGTTAGCGTTCGATGCAGGAAACTGGAACCCCCCCCCCTCTCTCTCTCTCTCTCTCTCTCTCGGGGTGCGATCTAAGAACGATTTCGGCAGATGATGAGCGCTGCGCAGGGGGAGAGGGGAAAGATCGCGCTTTTGCCAACACGCAGAAACTAAAACGATACAACGAACGAGATATTAAATGATTTTTACTAAATGACTTTTATTAAGCGTAGCTCGGTTTAAAAAAAAAAGAGCACCCTTTTAGGATCAATATTTTGCTCAACTTTGTATTGAGCACTTTTTTAAAAGTTCAGTGTGACACAAAAACAGGAATTTTTTTTTTCTGCGTATTGCCAGACGAGCAAGTGGCAACACTGCGAGACAGTGACCTCGAGCAAGTAAACATTTCGCCATTTAAATTCAAGATGAAATTCACAGTATCCCAGCTGAGATGTTGCAGCAGTCAATGAGGAATCTCAACAGCAGATTTCAAGAATGCATTCGTACAGGAGGACGCCATCTACAGGACGTAATTTTTAAAAAATGAAAATTCCATCATTGTTTCTTAAATGGCATGTTTTAAGGTTTCAATTACTATGAATAAATTATTTTCTTCCAGAACTCTTAGTTTTATTGGATTGTTAAATATTCCCGTTTTTTTTTTGGGGGGGGGGTCACGCTGTAAATGCTACGAACTGTAAATTTTTACTCCCTGTGTTCTTTCTCTCATTTGTATATATATATATATATATATATATATATATATATAAGCATTACGCCCCGTGCAAGGCGTGAAAGGGTGAGAGAGGGATGCCAACCTTGTAGGGTGCTTGAATTCATGGAGTCTGGGAACCAGGGAAAGCAGCTCATCGGAGCAACTACTATGAAATTATTTGTAGAAAAGACAGAGAGAGGCGACGGCGCGTCTGTGAGAGAGTGACTGTAGACGAGACGTCAGATCAGGGCCAATTACATTACATATCCGTCTCTGGATCTTGTCAAGAACTCCGAGGTAAACAGAAAGGTGCCCCAGACCATATATGGGTAGCAATACTCCATGCATGGCGAATGGTTGATTTGTATATTTGAAGTATCGATACCGGGGAGAAAAATTTCCTGGCGCGGCACAGAGAGCCAACTTTCCTCGCGGTGGACGAAGCAAT